TTCGATGCATAAATAAATGATTATTGTGTTACAACCGGATGCGACTAAAATTTAATAAACGCAACGATGATGATAATGATAATAATAATAATAATAATACATCCGAAAAGACGAGCCCGGTCATGCCGCGGTCGGCCGGTCATTATTATTTTACACATTTTACAACATTACATATAATATATACTATCTATATATACAAAAACCTTGGGGAGTGATTATTATGCGCTCTTTTACCTCTACAGAACAAACGCAAGACACCTCGTGTGTCTTGTGTATTAAAATATAACAGGACCTAGGAATATTTATAATATTCGACGGAGGTCAAAAACACTTTGAACCGGACGAGAGGGGTTCGAGAGCCGTAGCACCGTATTTCTGTATAGTAATAATGTGATTTTTTTAAAATAAATTTATTATAATATAATATATATATATATATATATAAATGAAATGCCTCTGTACGATAACGCCGACTCCTGTAGGAAATATTTTACTACATTAGATAGGTAGGTAGGTGCTATACAATAATTATTACTACTACTGCTGCTGCTGCTGCTGCTACTACTGCTACTACTACTACTACTGGTTGTTATTACCTGTGAAAGCGATAAAATTTAAAATTTAAAAAAAGTAAAACGCCGGTTTCCGAGCACATATACATGTACATAATATCATTCACAACCGTTTACGGCGTTAACGACAATGCGATATTATATTGTTACTGCTAATCAACTATAATACATTAACAACGGGCAACGGTAAATCGTATAATGGCCGGCGGTCGCCTTGAAAAAAAAAGAACAGTCACGCGATACCAGACCGTACCTATATACCTAGTACACGAGAGTAACAATGAAATAATACTTAAACACTTGCGCTAGTGTCCGACAAAAGTTATTTAACGAACCACGCCGTCACAACGCAGCTGTGCTCAAAAATTATTATTAATATATACATATAATATTATATATATATATATTTTTTTTATCAACTCAAGAGACCTAAGAGACCGCCGGGTTAGCCCCCTCTTTTTTCTCTGGCACACTGCACACCACAACGCAAAAACATGCTTACAACAGTATATTTCTTTCGGCGACTTCGGGTATTTTTTTACTGTGTTAGCTCGAAAACCTTTTTTTTTTTTGTTTCCATCGAATAATAAAAAGCCAATACCGAAACATCCCTCTGTGTAAACATTAGTTAACGTTAGCCGTCGTTAGTGCGGAAGAATTATGTATATTTTCAGTTATGCACCGAGTGAGATAGAAATATTAAAGATGGCAGCTCCGTCAAAGCGGCCCGATAAAAAAAAAATGATATTAGGCCCTTTTATTATTATTATTAAATCGCGTACTATCGACCCAAAAGGTTAACATAATATAACATTATAATTAATCGAAAGTTCGGATAAGCCACATTTTTTTGGTGGCACGTCGCCAGTTTTGTATTGGCCTCCGGTGGAGTTTTCCATAACTATTGCCCTAACCATTACCGCATTTAATATAATGTTATTATTCAGATCAATAAGCATCATTATAAATTGAAGATTTACTAGCATATAGTGAACCGGGCAACGGCTCGTGCGTGAGATATCGCCATGAAAACCTATAAAATAACATTGCACGATGTTCGGCCGACCGTGAGTCGTCGATAATAACTACCGTGGCGGAAAATCGAAAAAGGCAAGAGAAGAGCAATGGAAAATTGGGTAAGACAAAACCGTCTTATATACTACCGAGATTGGAGACCTACTCATTGTTTTGTATAACACGGTATAATGTTTGGACCTAGGACATTATGTAATTGACATTTTATTATTGTTGTCAACAATACAGTGATTTGAAAGTGTGCAAGAAGTCAAGACGACGAATGTTTTTAATGATATCTTTTACCGTTTTGACCGTACCCGGTGGTCTCCTATTGTCCGCCTCCTTTTTTTTCACGCGTTTACTTTTCCCCTTTAAGACCCGCCGTAGCCTTTTACTTGTATATTTATTTAAATATAATATATAATATTCTATCGGAGAGACGACCTAACCTAACGTACCGGGCGAGGCCATAAAAAAACATTAACGACGGCAAGTTTTTAGGCGAGCTCGCACACACAAACCGCTATTTATTTTTCTCCTAAATGAATTTTAACGACCAGACGATAATGTTTTCGTACGGGCCCAGTTGGTATACCAACCGTTGGTTTTTTTTTCCTATTCTGTTTGTGTTACACACACACACATTTTACACGAAGACTGTTTAAAAAAATAATATATATATTATAAATATATATATATCATCGTAGTCGGGTCGTATACATATATATATTTTTTTTTCTTCTAATATAATTATTGTAATTCAGCCGTCGCAGTTGCAGTATACTACTATATAGCTGTACTTACTTATACAAGTCATAACAATATTATATTCCTTGCACACATCACATATATACATACACGGCACAACACCAATACACGACGTCGTTTATGGCACACAAACGCATTATTATGATAATGACGATTTAAATTTTTTTTTTTTTTAAAGAGAGACCCAGCAGTGAATAGAGTTTTTTAAAAAAATACACATACATATTTATTAATATAACAAACACACACACATACATAAGAAGTCTGTCCGGCTGTAGGCCGTAAGTATTTCATCCACAGCACACGGACGGAATAGATTTATTTATTATATTGATGATTAATTTTTTGGGTTTTTTTTTCAAATCAAAACACTTAATCGTTGTTAAAAAATTCGGTTCGTTTAGTCGATGTTAATTGTTATAATAATATTATAAACGATTCGTTTAAAGAAAAAAAAACACAACTCACAAAACGCACTTTTTTCAGATTACACTTTTGCGAACGACTTTTAAGGTTCTTTTTAATTATTATTACTAAAACGTTTAGTTGTTTCTTATTTTAACGCCGTGTACAGCAACCGCTGCCAAATTAAATTAAATCACCATGGTTCGTTTTTTTAAAGGAAATATTGCGTCAACGAGTAGCGATTAAAATAATAATCGGTTAATATATTTAAGTTTTATTTTTAAAACAATCTACGCGATAGCGACGAAAAAACTTGTAAAAAAAATATATATATAATATGTTTCAAGGAATAAATGGTATTGAAATAATTACTCGTGGAATTAACACTACGGGATACTTAAATAATTATTATCTATTCATTTTTTTTTATATATATATACCTAGTAATAATAATAATAACAACAACATTAACCGCCGGTGTCGACGATTGGGATAGCTTTTTTTTAAATTTATTGTGTACATTTTTGTGATGCTTTTTGAACATTTTTTTTTTTTTTTGCAATTTTAGCCGAATTGACAATTATTTTCTCTCTCAAACACACATGTCACATACACATACATTAAACAATAAGTTCCAGAAATTTCACAGAAAGCTAGTTGAGCATTACAACAATAAAAACCATAATAATATATTAATGACCCCGTATGATTATACCGTTAATGATGATAATAATAGTGTACTATTATCGTTACGATACGGGGAAAACGTCGGCAGCCAAAAATATTATAATAATAATTATATTATTAATCTTAATAACGGCGTAGCCTCGGGCCTCGTTAAGAGACAATGATAATATTGTAGTTAAAAAAATTGTAACCAATCAAAGGCTTATCCTATTCTGTTTTTTTTTTTGCAGGGTTCATACAAGTCTGGGAATGAAAAATAAAAAAATTAGTTCACAATAAACTAGTCGGATCATCATAAATAACGACAAAAATCGAATGAGGTAATTTTTGTAAACGAATTTTGCACTTAATTGAGCAATGGGAAATAGAAAACTCTTAAGACCTGATTTCCAAATGTCGACAAAAAGTGACAGTGGTGTTTTTAGACTCAAAATACAGCCACCCGTCGTCTAACCACGTTATTACACAGTGTGTTAATTAACCGTAAAACGAGTGGATTTAATTTAAAGATATGTTATTTTCATTATTAGAAAAAAAAGTACAATCTATACATGAAATTCGAACAATAAGCATAATTAATGTTATGATTACAAAATCAGCAGTGTATGGCGTGTGTGGAGCTAACCGTCTATTGATGGAATTCCAATAATTTAAATAATAAAACGTGAAAATTTAAATGATGGTTTTTAAATGTCTTGTACTACTTTTATAAGTACACCTCTTTACTAGCATAATGCAAATTTGAAAAAAATGTACCTAAAACTTTTTCCGAAAATATTATAGTTTTACACAAAACTCGATGCTTGATAACTATTTGTTCGAATCTTTTTAAAAACAAAAAACATATTATGCTTAACTCAAATTAGATTGCACACGACTTAGGTTAAATGGCCCACTCCCGTTAAAAATAAGATCCTGTGTACTTTGGCTGGTAGGTAGTAAAGCGTTAGATACTCGAGATCAACACCTATAGGATTTCCAGGGGCTAAGTATGAACCCCGAATTTTAACGCCAACACCGATTGTCATTGTGTTGGTTGGTATATCGTAATTTTTTTATCCGAATCTTATTGAACTATTTTGCGCCTGTCGGTGGGGGGAGGGAGAAATAAAATAATAATAAAAAACACTGTGTCACGCGGTGGCGCCACGCGACCAGTGTCTCGCACAACAACCGGTTTGGGGGAAATCGTAGCAGCAGCAGCAGCCGCCTATGTTGCTGCCCTAGAAAGAAAGCAAAAAACACCCAGCCTCTGTATGAATCACCGAAAAAAACCAAAATAATAACGCAATATCGACCAACAACAATAATGTTATAGATGTACCGACACACATATTGTACCCTATTTATTGTGCACTACGACTCGTTCCACACTCTCTCCCTTCGCCTCTCTCTCGGTTCGCCGTCATCGTCCGTTTATAACCTTATCGACAATGATGTCACATAATATTGTACCGCGTACATAAAAAATGATCCGTGTACGTTGTCAACGTAAAGCATAATAATTAAAAAAAAAAAATTATAATAGGTATTGTTTTGTGCAGTACTCACAAATCGAACAAGCGAGGCGGATTGCGATGGTGGCGTTTGCGCTGGGCGTCCGCCGGTGGTTTGCGTGTCGTCGATCGTCGCCGTTCGGCTACCGTTGCCAAATGAACAATAATAACAGTATACAGTAATAATAATAATATCCTCGTGGTCGTTACGACCCGGTTGTCTTAAATAATAAAACCGACCCCTCGAGACCGTACACGAAGCGCTCGCCCGACACAATACACAAAAAAAACACACACACACACACGGTAACGGTTAGAAAATAATAGCGTGTGTAGGTCGAACCTTACGACGATAGCGTACGCCGAAAACTCGGTATTATAATATTATTATATTTGATCATAATATATGTAAAATGTCTACGGTGTTGAAGATGGGGTTGCGAAATCGATTATGAAAAAAAAAAATAATTAAGATCGCGTTATCACATACACACAAGGTCGACAGTTCCGTGTGATAAGGGTGTCGTCGGCGAACGGAAAAATAAAATAATAAGAACGGTCCGCGGTGGCCGGGAGAGCGCGGGGCGCGCGCGCAGCTGAACCGAAGCGAGTTAAGTAGTGTATATAGATATACAATATATATATATATCCAAGTATATAAAAACGTTATCAACGTGGATGACTGACACACGGGCAACGTGCTCTCACGGCGTACGGCAAGCGACTCCCGGGGCCTCGGCGAGCGGTGGTGCCCGCACGACGGCGGCCGACCGGCGGCGCGAGCGCTCCCCGTGGCGTTTTGCCTAAATTGACCGGCGGCGGCGGTTAACGATGACGCCACCGGAGAAGGGCTCCCCTTTTGAATTTAGGGGAAGAAAAAAAAATGTGCATTTCTAAACATCCCCTCCCCTTAAGTCTTAACACCACTCGCGGACGATTATACTAATCCAATAATTAGCTTTTGTATAAGTATAGTTAAAAGTAAATTTATATAAATTTAAAATCTTAAATAATGCATAATTTAAACCACAGATAATTGTGATAAAAATATGTATCTGTAACTTTAACTGTTTTGTATTAAAGAAATTATTAGTAAAGACCGGTGATCAATAAATCTTTCCAAGTAATTTTTACATTAAATAAACTATGCAAGGTAAATTATTTTCCTATAGATACAATTACGCATCAAAGCGATTTTTTTTAGAGGATTTCATTATATTTAGTTATAAAAATTCTGAAAATAATTTTACTATTGAGTGTACCTATCCACTGTGTTGGGTTTTTTTTTTTAATTTCTTTTACACACACTTATTGATTTAATATAAGGTTTTCTTATTAAGTTGATTTATGTTTTTTGGATATTTAATTCACATAATATCCTTGCCATGATTCTGTTGAATATTGAGATGCGAGTATTTGTAATGCAAATGTATTTCTTTTTGGTACTTCCACAAGCTTTAGTACACTTTACAGACAAATGAAGTATTGAAATCCTGAATTAATTATTAACGTTAAGGTCTAAAAGTATTAATTCAAAAACCTTCCCAAAAATGTCTAACTTCAAAATATCCAAACCAAAAAATGTCAAAACTAATAATTTATTTACGCAATTTCAAGTAGTAAATGCAGAAATAAATTGTAATAATTAAAATAACAGTCGATGAATAACATATAAATTTTAAAAATGATTTGTTTATTAACATAAAAAAAACGTTTAAGCAAGATAATTTGTTATGAACATTTGTTATTACTTATATGAAATATAAGATATTTGGCCAATTTGAACCTGTAATTTTTGGCCTAGATTTAATTATAATAATACATTGTGTCATGCGGAGACGAAAAAGGACCTCTTGTCGGCATTTTATAAAGGTAAGTCAGTACTATTTTCTGAATCTTGATTGATTTTTGAACAATTTGAGACCTGGTACATCTTTGTTGTAACTATAAAACATGAACTAATTATAGTATTTTGAATTTTGCGACTTTGAAATAAAAGTAATATTCACAAAAAATCCAAGTATTTTCGTTCTTTTTAAAAAATATTTGTAAGTTAGTCAAGTATTATTTTGATCGACGTGCATTAACTAACTGCACTCTGCCTCTCGTCCTAAATTTTAAACTAAAATAACTTTCAAGTAATCATTTAAACTGGATATCCACGGCTCAAAAATTATCAGCAAATTATTCTTGTTTTAAAGAATTAATTTAATGTAATATACGTTACCGTTTAAATTTCTTAAAGTCGATGGAGCTCTGGAAAATACTAAAATAGGTAGGTAAATATTTGGTCGTTTTATAATACTGTACAATACATAAACAAGAAAAAAGTTTTCAAGAAGAAAATCAATAAAGTTGTAATTGTTTTCCGAGAAAATGAGCTTCCTACGTTAAATAGATCACTCGTAATACACATATATATCTATACATTTTTTTTTATGATTAGTTTAACCAATCAATTTTGAGAGTTTTGGATGAAATGTAATTTTTGAACTTAATTCTATAGGGAAATATATATACTGGAGCATAAAAACAAGCGCAGGTGATGGATTTTAAATTTACCAATCCCCACGGGTCTTGTGGATAGATCCTAATAGGCTGAGATCTAATAGACTGCGGACACCGTTCGCCTCTAGACTTACAATGAACGCTAACCCGGGTGTGTTTCAGGACGAGAAAGAATAGTAGTACAAGTTGCAAACAACGTTAATTCGGTTGGCTTTAGCGCTTCATATGCGTTAGTGTTGTTTCCTTAAACTTTTCAATTTGTGTTTAACCGAACTAATAAGAAACTAAAGGAAACACTGTTATTGAAGCAGCGTACACAGTACCGGCTGGTCGAGGTTTCGATTAGCCGCTAAATTAATATTAAATATACTCCTTCGAAAATTCGGTTTAAGAAAGTCAATTTCATTATATTATCAGAAATAGGCGGCTTTTAACAAATTTAGCAACTGCTCACAGTTTTCCATTTTATTACTTCACTAGAGCGCTCAGAACTTTGTCGACAAGGAAAACTTGGTAAGTTATAATTGTTGAGTAAATAATTGAAAAGTTATTCGTCTTATGTGTCTAAGGCGAAAGGATCGTAGAAGTCATTTTTACACGGACTTGAAAAGTTTGTCGATTGGACTGAAATTTTTCAAACTACAAAGATAATTAGTAGTGGAGAGTTTCACTTCCCACACTTTCTGATTTAAATTATGCAAAAGTGTTTGTACAAATAATTAATTTTGTATATTATTCTTAATCGAACGTCTCCATAAAAACTTAAAATTCTCGTCTTTAAATTAAATATCAGAAGTGTTCAAAATTCTAGCAGCTAACAGTAGCCGATACAGTAGGAAATAATAATTTATTATTATGGTATTTTCATCAAGCATATCGGTCGGCAAAGAATATTGTACGATCAATACCTAATTACTCTCTTTGGTTGTGTTTCATTAATAATCCTGCTACGTTTTACTCGTTAATTAAAATTCCTTGTTCTATGGCATACTCATTAAAAACTACAAATAATTATCGTGTTTCGGTGTAAATAGTTTTAAAAATGTATATTCATTTGACGCGTCTACTTGACCTTATCCTCTTTCTTGGCGTTTCATCGACATTTTAAATATTTAATAACGCAATACGCGGACTACGGTTGACAGCGATGAAAACGCATTTTAAACCGTATATTCATTGGATACTCCCATCAAGTTTCAGGGTTTCCATGCAAAACTGTAATAGGAAGTAATTTGTATTAATTCTGCTGCGCAACATGATTTAACGACCGTTAAGTTACCGAGAATCTCTGAAAAGGCTCTTTGTTCGAATAACGCATTGAATTATATTGTATGTATGTCTCATTGTATGTCTTGTACCGAGAAAAGTGTTCTCTGCAAAATTAAATTCAAAGCATTTTTTTTTAAACCCCCCTTTGGTGGTAGGTACGTTTCCATAGACTCTTATGCAATACGGGTGTTTTGTTCAGATATTATAGTTTTTGGTTTTCGCCGGAAAGTAAAGTAAGTTTTAATTTTGTTCATCCGTGTAATACGAACGTGGTCTCGTTGATTGGCAGGGGTGGGACGGAATACCAATTAAAACTTTAACACTCTACCCTATTATTGTTTATTAAAACCGGCCGCCAGACTTGAAACCGGCACGAATTCAAAGTTTGTAGACATAATAAAATGACACAAAATCACTTGTTCGTGTGAATGATAACACAAAGGGGGAAATTAATGTGTTCTCTCATTCAAACATCCAAACTCTCCCGTTTTGTTTCCCCAAGTTAATTTCACTGTTGCTCGTTAAAATGTTACTGTCACGCTGAAATCCATCAAGTATAAGTAAGACGTTTTTTTTTGTGTGTTTCGCTTTTGCCACAAATCATTTTGAAAACCATATAAACTAAAATAATATTATTATATAGTGATGCATTGGGCGATTTCCACTAGAGATCTTATACTATAGTGTCAAGTTCTAACTTTAAGATAGTTTTTCGGTTTTAAAAATGTACCAAAAAGGTCAAAGGTTTATTATAATTTTACTTTCTGAAACAATTAACAGTATAAATGGACCGGCCTTATTGATAGCGATTCAAGTTTTATGGTTTCCGTTTAATTTTTTTGTTGAATGGGTTACATAATATTATATTGCTCGTTTCTCGCTTATCCCAATGCTATATTAGAAAATGTATCTAAGTGTAGTCGGTACTTGAATAATAACGGAAGAAACTTGAAAAAGCCATTTATTTTACTGCTGTTTTGGGACCTAACCACAATGAACAAGTTTCAACTTTTAAAACCTACTAAAACTTACAAAAAAAAAATTCTTTATACTTTGCTACCACCGTGTAATGTTATTTGTCGGTATAAAGCTCTTTATAAAATGTTAAACTTTTTTTTTTAAAAATATGTTTTCACACAAACATTATTTATACACCTAATAGTACTAAGACTCAACGTGCACATTTTATCATAATTTATTGTTAAACGTTTTTAATTATTTATCTTTTCATTTTCTTATTTCTGGTTAACATGTAAACGCCATTGTCATTTTCTACAGTTCTTGTTAACATAAAATGTATATTATTTTAAACAATGTGATTTTTAGCATAATTGATGGACATTAAATTTCAAAAAAAAAATGTTTGTACACCCGTCTAATGTTTTTGACGAAATTATTGAAAACAACTCCAAATAATAACATTATTAATTATAATTTTTATAATACAATTGCGTTGAAACAATGAAATCCAAATAACATTTTTTTTTTCAATCGAAACGGGTCAAGTGCAAGCCGGTTAGGTAACATAATATTATGTGGCTTAATACCAATAAGGGAAATGATGGACAAGTGCCACGGTTCCTTATTTTGTCGTTACTTAAATGTTTTATTGAGCCGTTAAAGTGTATATAAACCAGCTGAAACAACAAATGAAGTTTAAGTATTCTTTTGCAAATTCCTGTATTATGACACATTGGACATGTGAACATTAGACCACAATACGCCATGATTCAGGTCGGTTAGGTTGGGTAAATAAATAGGTACTATAACGTCTTTGAAAATTTCAGTGTAAAATCGTTGACCCTACGTTTTATCGGTACGCCTTATATGCGTGACCCATGACTCTATCAACGCGACTCAAGTGAAAGTTTGCAAGTCACAGGTAAGTACATAATATACTGTTTGAAGTGCATGACTGATATGATTGGGCATA